CCCCCGTCTTGCTGCACCCCCTGGGGTGTGGTGCAGGGCGGGGGATGCCTGGTCGGCGGGAACCCGGCACGGAACCCTCCGGCGTTGTAGGCGGGTGTGGGAAGCGTTCCCCGTTCTCCTTTTATTTTATTTTGATCGGTCTCCTCGACGCTCTTTCTCGTTTGGTGCGGTAGCTGGTCTTTCTTTCTATCATTTTGTTTCTCTTCCGAGTGGTTTTTGTACCCTATTTTTTTCTGTTTCTTCGTGGGGTCGTGTATGCCGGGTTTTGAGACCACGGGCTCCCAATCTTTCTTTTTTTAGAGCTAATGTGAGAAACAACAACAACAACAACAACTATGCATAAAAAGAGAGCGGTTTCGCCTGTGCATACTTTTTTTTGGCGAATAATATTGCGCATATATGGACATACTATGCATGAGCGTGGTTATGCTCGCTTGCTTCATTTTGCACGTAACACCATATTCGCCTGATTGAGAGCGAAGTATCTGATTGAGAGCGAGAGCCAAAAAAATTGAAATTTCGGGTCCAGACGCCTCTTGCCATTTCTTGGCAAGTAGGGGACGGGCTATTCCAAGAAGCGGTGCAAATTGAAGGTCTCATCAGCAGCTTCGCGAGCATATGCGTGTCATCGTCATCGGATGCTGCAGCGAGGAGCTAGACAAGTTGCTAGATTTGCCCAGATTGGCTATTTCTGCTCAAACTGTTTCAGGGCGGTATCGCGTCGGGCGGTGGGCTCTGCTGTAGCTTCTGCTCCCCGCTGTAGCTCCACAACGAGAGACTCCCACAGGATGACCAGGGTAGCGGCTTGAAGCTACGGGCTAGCCCTTCAATTCAAGCTACACAGCAAGCTCCACCTCTCAGTGGTAGTCCGGCTACAGCGTATCGCGCAATCTCGCTCTCAATCAGATGCTACGCTCTCAATCAGGCGAATATGTTGTTACGTAGGGGTGGATCAGCAGTGAGTCAGGTGCCTCCTGTGGCCCCAGCAACTTGAACAAAAAGTTTTATAAGGCCTTCCTTCGCTGTGAGGAACTTTATCCTCAAACACTATCCATGGTGGAACTCAAGTCAAGACAGGGGACCTTCGTTTTTGTTTGTTGTATTTTCTGAATATCACACAACAAATCTATCACTCTATCTATAGAAAGAAGTCTAAGATAGATCAGCAATGAATCCATAGCGTGAGCGAAAGGCTACCTTGTTGTTGTTGTTGCTGTTGTTTCTCGCATTAAACAACATATTCGCCTGATTGAGAGCGTAGCATCTGATTGAGAGCGAGATTGCGCGATACGCTGTAGCCGGACTACCACTGAGAGGTGGAGCTTGCTGTGTAGCTTGAATTGAAGGGCTAGCCCGTAGCTTCAAGCCGCTACCCNGCTCTATAGTCCACAAAAAATGGGGAGCCCGTGGTCTCAAAACCCAGCACATACGACGCCGCGGGGAAACAAAACAAAACTAGGGTACAAACCACTCGGAACAAGAAAACAAAATGATAGAAAGAATAATACAGGTATCGCACCGACCGTTCGAGAAAAGAGCCCTCGGAAACCGATC